ACAAGTCATATTAAAACGTGGAACAGATATTAATCTAACGATTTGGTTTTCTTCACCTGAAAATTAATTTTTTAATTAATTTTAATCGAAGTAAAAATTAATTTATTTTTTAAAAATATTTTACAATAGTATATTTTACAAACCTTTCCATAGTTTTGTTTCAAATTTATCTGTGTTTCCTATGAAATATATATCTGGACATTTTTTTATAATAAACAAATCTTTTTCATAATATGGAGTAGCTAGTAATGTATCTGGAGCAGTTGGACACATATGCCTCCATAGTAAAGATTTTTCTAGCCATTCGAGAGGTGAAGTATTAGTTTCACCTGTTACTTTTATGATGTCTTCAACTGATTGACCACTAGTACCAATTATTATTCGTCCTTCAATTTTACCAATCCATGGATTTGTAGTACTTTTAAAACTTTCAAATCTACATAAATATAAAATATAAAAATAGAATGAATATATACTTACATATATTATAAATATTTTGTACATAAAATTCAATATATATATAAACCTGGATGATTTAGGTAATAAACAAGGATGAAATGGTTTTTGTGGTAACATAGCATTAGTAGGGTCATGTTCTCCTGGCATCAAGGTAATATTACAACACATTGCTAAATTACTTAAGAATGTATCCACAATCTTTATTATTTCTCCAAGTTTTGTACTAGTATTCATTATATCATTACTTTTTGTGATATTACCTAATAAAAAAATAAATTATATATTATGTATATACATATATAAAATTTTTAGAATAATATGTATGATTTACCTGCTATAATAAGGCGAACAATAGAAGTATTATCCTTTTGTATTGTTGTATTACCAGCCATTCCACATAACCATTCACAAAAGAGAGATATTCCCAAACTTTCATAATTATTGGATAAATCTAATCCAGATACTATTACCAATTTTTTTTGTGATGTATGTTCTTTTAAAGATTCTTTTGGTGCACATCCAGGAAAACACCAATCTTTTACCTAAATATAATAAATTATATTAAAAACATAACATAAAGATAAAATGATAATTATATTTTTAGAATTAAAATATTACCATAAATGTTCCATCACTATTTTCATTGCCTAATATAGCACAAACAACTCCAGTAACAATTTGTTTTAAATTAACTTGATTACCCACTAATTTAATACGTAACATTTCATCTTCTAAAAATGATTGGTCTTTTTCTGAACAATAATTTGATTTAGAACAGGAGACACTAAGTTGATGATCTTCACTAAGTTCTCGTAAAATTGATGGTTTCCATTGCTGATGTTTATATAGTGTACCAATTAGTATACACTGTTGACCTTCTAAATTTTCTAAGTCAGCTAATTTTATAATAGGAATATTTTCTGTGTATGAAAAGAAAAATATAGATGTTATTCATAAACAAATCTTTGCATATATCTTTTATTGTATGAATATCATAACCCTGATAATATATGTTGTTCACAAAAGAAAAGTTAATAACATACCCCATTTAGTTTGGACACGTGGAATTAAAATATCTCTTAATTCAGCAAGTCTAGCAGAATATATATGGGCAAATTGTTTAGAATAATCACTTTTTGTTATTACGAACTTTTCTGAAAGATCTTTATATTGAGCTCGTTTTCTTTCAAATACTTGTGAATTCTCTTTTCCTGATTTTATATATAAATCATTGCATTTTTCTTCACTTTTATAAACCATTTTTAATTAAAAAATATTAAATTTAATGAAATAATTTGTATCTAAATAATTACATATAGTTACCGATACTAGATTACCGCCAAATTTATGTGAAATGGTAATTTTCTTCACTAGCGCCATCGTATAGCCAATATGGGAAATTTAAAATGCATGTAAGTATACATATACATACATGGTATATTTTTACAATATAAATTTTTATATTGAACGAATTTTTTTTATTAATTATAAATAAAATTAATTTGTGCTACAATATTAATTGATTTTTAAATAAATTTTAAATAAACAATTAAAATTTTGAAATAAAAAGAATTAATATATATAATAATAATAATAAATAAGGATAATAAATAGGGAACAGTAAAAAAATACTTGAAACTATATATTTTACTTGTTTTATTATTTCCAAATCTTGCTTAGAACCTGAAGAAATTCTTTCACAATCTAATAATTAATTAATGATAATTAAGTTTAACATTAACGCCTGACAACGACGAAGTAAAGATTATATATCTGTATATATGCATATATATATACATGTATATATATGTATAAATATATATATATATATACATATATATTGTGTATAAGCTAATTCTTGCCCAGACACACGTATTGATATGCAGTTGTTCATTCAATTTTTTTTCTACGGGCATATAAATAAAATCTTATTGCTTAATATTTTTTAAATATATATATATATATATATATGTATGTATGTATATATATGTATAAATATATGTGCATATATATGTATACATATGTATATATATATATATATATATATATACATATATGCGGTATCATTATCATTATATATGATGATATGTTTTTGTAGTCCCAATGATTAATATGCACGTATTTGTGCAAATGCCTCAGCATGAGACATGTTATGGACGGATTGATCCAGATGCAAAATGGACTTTCCGAATAATCAAACGGATCGCACAAATTTTTTTCTTCACCATTTTTTTTCATCACCATTTTGTTTTTTTCCCGTTATTGATATTGAAGTTATAATTGCAGAAAAATTTTCAGCTTGTTACTTTGCAATCGATTTTCGGAATGTCCTCATGTATCCGGCAGTATTTTGACGAGGCCTAAGATTGTCGTTTTAACCTCGTTCGTGAAGAAAGTGACGAAAAAAAAAAAAAAAAAAAAGAGACGCGGCCACTCACGGATCGCTATTTTTTTTTTTCTTTATTTATTCATATATATAATTCATATATATAATTATATATGATATCATATTGAGTCGATCTCGGAGAGGCATCATTCAAAAGCCCCGTCGATATACTGATTATTCATTTTTTCTTTGTTCACTAAATATCAGATTCTTAATTCTGAATTAATTTTATATCGCTACGGTAAAGTTATTATTTTTTTCTTTTTAGATATCACAATAACCTTACACAGAAAGCTGCAACTAATTTATAATTATATTAATATTAATAATAATGTTATTATTATATTGTTATTACTTTATTATAATTAAATATTATTTATTATTATTAATTATTATTATTATTGTTGTTGTTATTTATTATCTACCTCGTAAATACATCGGAATTTTATTTCTTTTTTTTTATTTTCAACGAAAACATCAAAGTAATTCTTATTCGCGATTCCTTTAGGATAATTGCTTCTTCACAAACACATGACTCGTGCATATGCGCAATTTTAATTTCATTTTATCCGATAGCGGATGATGAAATGTTCATTGTTTTATATTTGGCTCAATTAAAATTGAAAAAAGTAAATCATTGTTTGTTTCTTGTTTTTTCTTTCTATCTGATTTTTAAATACGTTCCCATTTTTTTCATCGAGCTACATTATTTAAAGTTGTTCTCTATCGCTTCCTCGATTTCAATCGAGAAATTTTGTTTATCGCGATTTTTCGCAACATCGAGCATTAAAATACATGTCACGACGTTAATCAAGAATAGCAAGATTAAAATGAAATTATATTTAACTTAAATATTTTTTTTAGTTTTAATTTGTTTTTCTATGTTTTTATAAAATTATTTGAAATTGATAGTGTTAGTTAAGAAAATTGTTTTTAATATAAATTTTAAAATATTCATTAGTGTTGTTCAATTCTATTCTCAATTAACGTCTTTTTTTTTTTTTTACATTTTACTTAACATGTGTATACAGACGTCGAATTAAAAATTCATACACGTATTTTAATAGTGTGTGAATTCGTCTGAATAATTTTTATTGTTTAACAAGATACACAATGCTTATTCATGGAAGAAAATGTTACAATATTATGTCTAAGAGATTATTTCGACAATATATTTATATTATATATTATATATTATATATTATATATTATTATAATATATAAAACTTATATTTTGAAATTATTAATCATATAATAATTTATTACTTTTTATAAAATGCAATTAATCTTTCTAAAAAATGATCTAAATATAGTATAAATATATTCCAGATTAAATATTTAAAAAATTTTGCAATTCACGTTTATTTTGAATTCATTATTTTGAACGTAGTTATACTTCATCATATCATTTGAAATAACAATCGTATCGATATTTCGATAAAATATGATGCGTTCAACAATGCATTTGTTCAACAACATATATACGTACAATAATCAGATGTGAAGAACCAGATGCGAGAAATGATCGATTCAAATTATCGTAGAGATGTTTAAGCGACATTGCGAATCGATTGCTAAATCAGAAGCCTTCATTAAAACAATTTCTTCCGTGAATAAGTATCGGCTTATAAACATTATAAACGTATCACAATTCGGGCATCTTCGATTAGAGAATATTTTGTAATACATATAGATATATGTTGTTATTTTTTCTTAAATCACGTTATACATGATAAATATTCGACTAAAGTATAATAATTGTCATTAAATGTCGTTTCTCGATCATTAATTTTCTTGCATCGAATAGTGACGTGAATTTAGATTTTTTTTCTTAACTAAAATTTTATCTTCATAAAATATTGCGTCGAGCTTATAACCTTCATCGTTTCGATACGATGATTCTTAAATTGAAAAGTAAGAATCTTGCAGAATATAAATTTTTAAAGCATTTTCAATTATTTTTGACGTTATTTCTGTATAAACTAATTTTAACAATTAATCGAATCGAAAGTTTATATATAATTAAAATATTTAAAAATTAACACTTAAAAATAATTATCGATATCGATTAAATCAATGATCGATTATTTTTAACATTTTCATTCTATATGTTTTAATATAAAATTCTAATTAACAAATTGTTAAGATATCAAATTTAAATTTAAATTTATTCTTAAATTATTTTTCCGCTCGATTCCTCACTTCTTCTTCTGATGATTTATTTTTCCTATATTCATTTCACTATTCGACAGTGTGAAAGTCTCGTGAAAAATTTTAAATGTTAAGTTTAAATAATCAAGGATTGTACATATATCAGTGGAGTATTACACATTGCGTTGAAAGTTCAAACACTTGAGGCTCGAGAGCGCTCAAAGTTTATTCGATTACTCGAAGTCGATTGAAACACATTTTATCGAATTGTATCGATTTCGAAATTCGAAATTCGAAAAGAATCGAAATTCTATTCGAATAAAATTACTTTCAATTCGTTTCGAGTCGAAAACTCGATTTATCGAACTAATAACGAATAATCAATTATTATTCGGCTATATATAATACTTCAAATTGTTCGATCAATCGAATAACCATGATCAAAAATTCATCTCTATTTCAATTATAATAGTATTTAAATAATCTCGATTTATTCGAATCCGAACGATACATTTAAACTTTTTTAAATTTTTCCCCTACATTTTGTCAATGAATAGAAATAAAATAAAAGAAAGAAAAAATATTTTAATTTACATGTAATAAGTTATAACGATTAATTTTTTATAAAATCGTGTAAATATCCGAAAATTATCGAATAATATACAATTTTTTATTCGATAATATTTGAGCTCATCGTTTTGTTCCAAATAAATCGAGCAAGTTTATTCGAATATTCGATTTTCGATAAAATTGTTCGAATCGAAAATTCGAAATATTTAAATATTTAATTATCTATCCACATGCATATAATGAATGCATACATAAAGCTTGAACGATAGAGATTACTATATACAGACCCTGAAATTTTCTCTGTCATCGAAATATTCCGTATCCTTTATCCCATTTTCTTTCCTTTATTATACTATTATTAGAATTACATACGTATTTCGATGCTAGGTCTGAAAACAGAAAACTAACAGGCAAATAAATGCATGGACAATGCTACGCGATTAGCTTTCCCCTTATATACGGTCAAATAGTGTAGATGCTACTACGTACAATAACATATACAGATTTTTACAGATACAAATTGATAGGTGTCTACTCGAATGAACGACGTTTGATAGATACACGAACAACAATGAAATTTTCTTTTTCATAAATAAATAATTTCCGTTTAAATACGCGTTATTATTACAACAGGTATCTTGTCTTTGGTCTTTGCAAAATCATGAAAATTATAAATAATCAATAAATAAATTAGAAAAAAAAAACGAGATTAAATTCTATACTATTGGACAATAGTTTCCAAACTTGCTATTATACCACGATATTAAAAACAAATATATGAAAATTCGTTCCTTCTTTTTTTTTTTTTATGTGAAAATTTCTTATCGCATATGCGACAACTAATATTTAAATGTAAATTAAAAAAAATATTTTATAATACTAGATCTACGATCTTTTGGATAATTTAACATTGTAATAATTTTTTTTTTAATTCAATCCTTATACGTTCAACAGGCAGCCGAGCATGAGTCATAATATACGATCTCCGTTACTCAATTCTACAGAAATAATTTTACTATCAAAATTCTATGTTATTATGTCAATTTAACGGATTGTTAAAAAAAAAATAGTTGAACAAAAAAAAAAAGATAAATTAATTATTTTATAACGATCCAAAAGGTTTAAAGGTTAAAATGTAGATTTTATTTTTTTCTTTTGTATTTTCATCGATATTAAGAGAATATTAATCGAATAAGACATCGATAGCAAAGCAAGGACTAGATCACCAATGTCAATGTTATTTCAATTTTTTATTTTTTGGATTTCTAATTCCTTATTAAGAAATTTTTCGTATTTTTTTTTAACTTTTTTTCATCGTTAATCATTTTTCTTACGTGAATAATTTGGTTTCGCGCCAAGAAGTCGAACGTTAAACGATCTTTAACACGCAATAGCGATTTGAAATCGCGTTCATTGCGATTCATAAGAGGATGGTAGATAATTAGCGGTAAATTAGTAGAAGAAAAGTAGAGCTTTTTATCGTTCTATCTTGCGAAAACATTGTTGCGAAACGTTCTAATTGTGCAAAATGGCCCCTGATTCTTTTTTCCTTTTCTTTTTAATAAATTTCTTGAACCGAAGAATTACAATTGAAGAAAAGATATTTTAAAATCTATTAAAATCTGCCTCGTTGAACAAATCTTAATCGACCATCATCCTCTGTACAACCGTGAGGCATTAATTTAAGCAAGAATCTAAGAGTTTAAATTAATTTGTTTAAATAAAATGATAAAATAACTCGGTTTTTTTAACGAAAAAAATGCATCCATATTAAAAAAAAAGAAAAAAACAAAACAAAACGTCGTTCGACACGTAGACACCAATTCCACTAATTTCACGCAATTTTTCTTGCGTTTTTTTTACAACCTCCATCTGCTTCGACCCTAATAATAATTTATCACGAATATTATGATAAATATTTTAAACAAGCAACTAAATCTCGAAATTCTTGCATTCATTGTTCTCACACACATTCTCGAGTGCGCTGTTAAATCAGTGCTATTATATTTATTATTCTCTCTCGTATGCGATGTTTCTCTGCTATTATCTCCTTTTTTTCCCTTTCTTTCTTTCTTTCTTTCTTTCTTTTTTTTTCACGATGCGAATTCTCCTCAATTTCATTGTTCAAAACATCGTAGTCATCGTTGTTAATCGATCCTGTCGATCGAGGCTTATGGACGGTATGGAGCCGTCGTCGATAACCACCTCTTTAATCCTAATTAGTCAGAATCAATGTCCACAGAAAACGATCTCGTTGACTCATCGTGGCCGTTCTTTTTTTTTTTTCGTGTAATTATTCGATTTATGCCTAATTAATGAATAACAATAGCGACTTTGTTTACCGTTTTATTACGCAATTTACTTTAACATGTTTCCTCTTTTTTCTTNTTTTTTTTTTTTTTCCTCTTCCTCATAGGAAAGATTCTTCAGATTCTTTACCGTGTGATTTTCCTGTTTTTTTTTTATTTTTTTTTCTAGAAAAAAAATTTTTATACATAGACACGTTATATTATATTACAAGACCAGAGATTGTACATCGAGATCCTTTGTGAAAAAAGATTTTTACCCCACAGATTTTTTTCTGATCCGTGTCAAATATTTCTCAGAAATTCAGTTTTTTTTTTTTTTTTTTTTTTTTTTTNTTTTTTTTTTTTTTTTTTTTTTTTTTCAAATTTTCTATCAATGATCCTTTAATTGAATTGACAAAGGTTCTCCTCATCTGAGATCTTCTTTATCGTTTACAGAGATTCTTTGTTGTTTGAGTGATTTCTTTGTTCAAATGTATTTGAGGATCCTTTTTAGGGATCCTTTTTTTCTCGAGATAGAATCCTCAACGAGTAAAATTTAAATATTTTTTTTTTATCGAATTGAACGATTTTACGAGAGAAAAAAAAAATAATCGACGATTTCCCTATTCGAACGCATATCTAGGATTTTTAACAAATCTCTTTTTAAAATCCTCTTCGAAGCGGCAAATATTTTGAAATATTTTAATTAATTATCTTTCGTAATAATAAAAATGACAAGATAGCTTAACACTTGAATACGATGATACTTTCGTGAATCGGTGTTCCATCAACGTTGATCACGTTGCTTAAGAGCTTATATATCGAAAATCACCACCACGAGCACGTAAAATAGCATCTTTCATTCTTTGGGATTGTTTACGCAGCCTTGACAAATTAATATAAATAGTCGAACCGTTCAGGTACCTATGTGCAAAGAACATCTGATAGCTAGAATGAAATTTCTTTGAATATAATATCTAGTATACATATATATTTTATATATATATATATATATATAATGCCGTCGAAGCAGTCGTTTTTTGAATTTCCTAATTTTTTTTTTTTTTTTTTTTTTTTAATCATTCGAAGAATCTCGATCGATCGATTTAAATCAATGTCGAGATCGATATTGACGGGACAATTTCTTCTCATAGAAATTGTTCTCTTTTCGTTAATTAAATTACCACGAATTGACTATTTTCACATATTGCGGAATCGAATCCGCGGGAATGAACGGAGGATGGAACATTCGTGTATCGTTCGAGAGATTTTTTCTTTCTTTCTTTCTTTCCTTTTTTTTTTCTTCTTCTGAAAATCTCAATCTCAAGGGCGAAATACACTGCTCGATAAAAGATACATACATATTTGGTCAAAAATATATCGCGAACAACACAACACGACGAAAAGTGTTGTTTGTTAATTAAGAAGAAAGTGTATATAAATATTCAATACAATTCAATTCGTCTAATTACGAATAAAATTTTTTTCTTTCTTTTTTTTCACTTGTCTTTTGAAACAAGTTTCGTTAAAAAATTTTCTTTAAATCGGATCGGTTCGTGTCGGTACGAAATTACGTTGGAATGACTCATAGAAAATTATGAAAGCGTTTATAGGCAACGATACCACGCATAAGATACGGAGCGTGGTGATTCCAATTGTGTAGTTAACGCAAAAAATGGTTAGAGAACTCGGAAACAAGGTCGGATAGATGCAATTATGGTTTATGGTCTGGTTATCCATTTACGAGAAAAAAAAAGATATCTTCGTATTTTATACGAGATATGAAAAATATCCAATTGTTAGTTAGTGCATTTTTTTTAATTATTCGAATAAAAAAAAAGGTTGAATTATCTTGAGCAGTGTACTTGTTACTATATCTAACTGATAGAACAAAGTCGATCAAGTATCGATTTTTTGTATATCTCGAAAAAATTACATTAGAGATTAATAAAATTACAAATTTTGCGTGTATAATATACTTGATACAAATCGAGAAAAATTGAATAGTATATATATACGGTATAAATGTAATACGATTTAAACGACTCTGCCCTATCAATCGAGGGATAAAAATTACTTTGACGCAACGTCACTTCCGCTAATCTACGCCAAGCATCACCAGACGGACTGTGTAATAACTAAAACACATAGTACGGAAAGAAGCGCACGCGATTTTTATCTTTAAATCCGTTTTTCGAATAACAACTACGATCGAATAATCTACGATCACACGTTTGAATCGCGAAACGTTCGAAAAATCGACGAGAAAAACATCACGGCGACATTTGTATCCTATACAGATTAAAACATGTTACGTGTTAGCTTTAACACTTTGAAATCTTTCGTAATAATGTATAATAAATATAGCGTTTTAAATTATAACCGACGAGCCTAAAAAAATTTCTGCGAATACTTATACACAATAGCTACGGTCCCTAATTTAATGTGTCGTAATTATACTTTCGGAATGTATGGACTCACCACGACTTTTTTTTTTTTTTTATTCTTTTCTTATTCTTTCTTATTTATCCCCCCTCCCCTACTACTTTACTTTCAACGATAGTAAGATCGAAAACAATAGTCGGTAAGGTAGATCGCGGTCGATCGAAGACAATTTTCGAAAATTTTCGAGAAGCCTCTCTCACTTTCTTTCTTCTCTTTCTCTCTCTCTCTCTTTTTATTCTATTTAGACGAGAATCTACGTCGTCCGAATATATATATATATATATTAGAAAAATGATATGTCTTATTGTACGTGGTCGCGAGATTTTCGCGTTCTTATCACTTTTATTTCGACGTTCCTTGCAATCTAATCGAGTATAGGAAGAAGAATAGCGTGGTCGTGTATTAAAATTCGAAACGAAGATATTCCAAAAAATAGAAACGCAGTTGAGATTAAGTAACTTTAACCTTCCTTTCCATACGTGAAATAGAACGAAACGATGATACAAAATTTTTCAAGAGAATTTAAAAAAAAAAAAAATCTTTAATGAAATCTTGAACGAACACAACTATTTCACGACTGTTCTATACTTCTTCCATCAACAACACTCTTCCTTTCCTTCTCTTCCGAAACTGGGAACTCCTGAAAAATCGCGTGTCATCGTGATCAACTCTCTATTCCAAACTTTTTTCAATTTTTCTCCTCAACATTTTGAACCTTTCAAAATTTAATATAACAGACGATGTACATAGAGTTTAAAAGCTTTTTTCTTTTTTTTCACCATCTTCTCGAATTTTTACCATCTACAAGGCGTGTAAGTTCGTGTTAGCGATTTACGTGGAACAAAACGGTGGAAACTCGTTAGCTCGACACCAAGCTCGAAAGGCCTCCCCATGGACACGTTTCGCTTCAATCTGAACGGTGTCGTCCCCTCTCGAGATATAATATCGTGGACAGAGAGCGAGGTTCGCGCGATCAAAAATAATTTTCTCGGCTTGCTTGGAAAAAAAAAAAAATACCGTTTCGAGACTGGCCTATATTTTCCTTCAAACTAATGCTGATGCGCAACGCAAGGCGTGTAGAGATTTTCGTGGATTTTCAGCGTCGTCTCGTTAGGACGGATTCGGGAATCTATTTTAATTAATCGTGTCTAATAATGTGGCAGGTTCTTCGTTTCCTCTACTTTCATCAATCTGTATATGTATATATATCGCACGATCTCTTCTTTTCCCCCCCTGCCCCTCGTGTTACCTTCCATTCTCGTACTTCGTACTTCTGCGCACACGTCTTGCGCAGAGACATGTTTTTTTCAGATTCTGATCGTATCGAGTATAGCATCGACTATATCACAACACACGGTTCGCGCAGAGCTCGATCGATAATTTTAATTCGCGTGACAACATCGCGTCGCAATGATGACACGATGTCGATCGAAATCGCCCCTTGGCGATCTTTGGACAGATATATTATCGATATCTTTGGTGATTCGTTCGTCTCAATCGTGTCCTCGTTTTCTTTAATCCTCGTAGAGTTCATAGGAGGGGGAGGGAGGGGGGGGAAGGTCATTTCGGACGATACATCGTTAACGTTAAAATTCGTTAAGATTCGATTCGACTCCGTTTCCTCGATTGCTTCGACGATTAAACGAACGATCAAGCAATCTTTTTCCCCTTTCATTTTCTCCCTCGATTTTTGCTCTCTCCTTATGCGTTTCATTCCGAAGCATAACGTAATGCACTCAATTCGTCTCGCGAAAAGTGATTCTCGCTTCGTTCGTGATTTTTTTCCTTCTCCTAACTTTAAATAAACTTTTGAGTCTCTTGTATATTATAATCCCGCATTGTTAGGACGAGATCGCATCCTCGTCGAGAGAAAATGATAGATGATAGGTGAATATACCATCGATTACCACGATTACCACCAGAGTATATTTCATCTATATATTTTTCGGTCGTTTGATGTCTCGTTTCCTTCGTGCGTGAAAAATCGTGATCCAGGATCTATATAAGCTCTCGATCGCACAGATCAGTCTCGTTCAGGTGCTTCCTCGTGATCTATATTGCGTGTTGCTTTTTTTTTTTTTTTCTTTTTCGCGTGTGTATAAGATATACGTTATCTGTTATATACATATATACGTATGTATTGTAAAAAAGAAACGAAAAAGGATTCGGTTAGAATAATGTTCTCTCTAGTGTTCACGGTACAAAATATCTGATTCATCACTTTTGTTAATTTACGTACTTTCTATTTTCATTTTTTTTTTTCCCTTTTCTTTTCTTCTCCTCTTTATTTTTCACTCCCTCCCTTTTTTTTTTTCTATTTCGTCGTTCCTCGTTTACTCGTGATACACACACACACACATACGCACAGACATGCATATATATATATATATTCGTCTCATTTACTTTAATATATATATATATATAGAGCTATCTGTATATATATATATATATACTTTTCATATTTATATCGATTTCTACTAATCCTTACGTGAAATGCCATTCTCTATTAATTGTAAATTGTATAGTAGCGTTATACTGCCTACTGATATGAGTTTTCCTTAGTTCATTTGTGTAAAGCACTTTTTAGATTCGATCGAAACGATTCATCGCGAGCGAGCGAACTCTTATTACCAATAATTTCCATTATAAATCGATCAATCGCATCGATACGCTCAGAATCGACTTTTCTATTTTTTTTTTTTTCTTCTTCTTCTTACTCTCTAATTTCTTTACAGTTTTTTTTTCTATTCGTAATTTTTCGTTGTACCTAATTTTTTTTTCCTTTTTTTTTTTTATTTCATTAATCTTCGTTTCAATCGTTTCGTTCAAAAAAAAAAAAAGATTTATGCAACATTATTCTTTCTCTTGGATACGTAATTATGATAGAAATTTTAATAATTGCATGGCGGATTCCAATTGTACGAGGATACGAGGAAAGAATATATACAATTGGTTGGAGAAACAAAACGTCGATTCTTTTCTTCATTTTATGATTCGCTAATTCTCGCCGCGTGAACATTCCGCGTTGCGTTCCTCTCTTGCCCTACTTTCCTTTAGTTCTCTCTCGTTGTCTTTTGTCGGCGACGAGGTCGATCACGATTCCATCGATTCGTTTTTTTTTTTTTTGGACTTATCAGATCGATTATAGAGATTAGAATAACATACGATGATGAAAGTATCAGCAGTGTTTTTCGAATGATAGTTAGAGATGATAGTTTTCTCAAAAACGTACTCTCTACAGAATTTCGATAAAAAAATCATGCTCTCGAGTTGAAAAAAAATTTAATTATAAGTTGTAATTACGCTTCGATTATAATTTCAATAACTTCGTCCGCGATCCACTTTCAACGGATTCAAGATTCTCGTCGAGAAGAGGAATAGAGTCGAAAAACGAACCGATGGAACGCGACGAAGGTGTTGAGTAATTAAATAGATGGAGCAAGCGATACGTGTAAAGTAGCTGGGGTCGGATCGAAAAATCGTGTCGCCACAATCGCGACTACGAGCACGCTTCTGAACATCCATCCATTCCTTCCTCGTTTTTATATTTCCCTTTCCGATTTTCCTTCGTTTCCTTTTTTCCTTTGGTCTCCTTTCAGCTTCATCGGTGTAAATATTATCTTTTTTTTTATCGTCGTTTTCATACAAAAGTAGCAAAAAGCTTGGCCGCGAGTGCCGAAGGATTATTCTTTTTTTTTATTTTTTTTTTTCATCGCCACGATATTTCCCTCACGAGGCGTGTTATCGTCGCGACATATTTTTCTCTCTCTCTTTTTCTTTCTCTTTTCTTTTTCCCTTTTTTCGTTCGATTCAAATCGAGTGAGCTTTTCGAATGAAAATTTATCGAATAAGAAAAATCGTGTCGGCGCGCGATAATAACGATCGATACGCTCGATATTATCATATATATTCATTTCCTTTTTTCTGGTTTCTCTCTTTCTTTTTTTTCTTTCCTTCTTTCTTTCTTCCCTTCCTTTTTTTTATTCACGTCACGTTTCACGCGTTGTATACACTCTTTTTGCACGGGGACCGAATCGATAGAATTCGCGATCGAGTCGGTCTAAATTAGCTAGAAATTGTCTCGCTTTTAAACACAATCACACTGTACGATTATACATTTAGAATACACGCATGCGCAGCAAACACGTCCATTCTATCTCTACCTTGGGCAGTACAACTATTGTTTTTATATTGTAAAATGATATGTTACGTTAAGGTCAAGCGAATACGTTGCCCTGGGAAAGGCATTCGAGAGCCTTCGTTTCCTTTTTTTTTTTTTTTTTTTATTTTTTTTTTTCCTTCCTTCTCTTCGCGTCACGGTAGTCACGGTTCACGATTTAGTTAGAATATATATACGCTCGATTGGATAATAATCTGCGGATCTAATGAAATCTGATGAAGATTCGAAAAAAAAAAAAAGATCGGTGACGGCGAAAAAAAAATAAAAAGTCGAAGAAGAAGACGAAGAATATTTTAGAAAAAGATTTCTCAGGAATCGAGGAATTCGATTTTCCATTTTTTTCATTGGTTCTTCTTCTTTTTTTTTTTTGTATCAAAAGAACAAATCAATTTATCAAGGATCATCAAACTAGCGAATAAATAATTGTTGCAAATAAATCGTTTCGTTATTTTTTTTCTCTCATTTTTCGTCGTCGCTCTCTCCGAATTCGCAAATGTAAGGCCTCGCATGGGTTTTACAATTTAGGCTATACTTTCCGCCGTTTTCGAAGATCACACACAGATGTGTACACCTTTTGTTTTACTCTCTTCAAAAAATCGCGACTCTTCAAGAAGGGAACGTTGAATTGACCTAACTTTTCTTTTCCTTCGAAACCACGTCTCTCTGTTATCAATGTGTGTACAAACAATTCCCACCCCCCCTTTTTTTTTAATAAATATATATGTGTGTATATATATATTATACCTATACGTACAGTCCAAGACACACTTAAGAGAGGATCCGAGGAGTTCGATAAAATTTTTATTCTCTATATATCGACTTATACGAGGAAAAAAAATTTATTCAGTCACCATCTATGACGAATATTACGATACTCTAACGAGTCAGAAATTCGGTGATATGTTCGTGGATCGACATGTTCACGGATTCAAGCGGAATTTACACACTTTTATTTTTATTCTTTTTTTTTTTTTTAATTTTTTTATTTATACTAACGATCAATTGGAAAGCGTTTATCAAAGTCATCATCCTATTAAGAGTCGATTTTTGTCCGATTTCGAGAGGATTCTTATTTTTTAGGATAATTGTTCGTGAAATTCTGAGATCTCTTTTTAAAAGAATTATATTAATTTTTTTTTTTATATTTTAGAATTGATAAAGATTTATCTTAAGTGATATATATGGTGCATTAATTAATCTTTTAATAAATAGAGAATTGATTTGTGCATAAAAATTAAATTTCTTCTGTGAAAAAATTTTGTTGATTTATCTATGAATCTCTTTATTTCTTTTATTATTATACTTGTAATAAAAATATTAAAAACATGTATTTGTTGCAAGAAAGGATTAACCCGTCTTCTATCGAATTATTTTCTTTCTTTCATAAAGGCAAAGATTTTAATTTTATTTTTAATAAAAATGGGAATGTAATCGAAACTTAAAAACTTCGTAATTTTTTTAAACTTTCGAAACTTAAATACAGAATAATTTTTATTTAAAAAATGTTGTGAGGAATCACTATAGTTCATATGAATCAAAGAATAAAACAAATTTTTTTACTATTGTTTAAATTTCGAGAATCTCAATTTCTCGTAAAATTTTGAATTGAAGAATCAAGTTTCGATCGATCTTCTTTAGGATAGACGACTCCAAACGCCTTCCAAGATAATTATCTACTTTCAAATAGCCTGCTCGGCAAGCCCTTAACAATCTAACGATATGTATCAGAAGAGTGACAACCCTGAAATCTCGTCTTACCTCCGTTTCTTTGTCTCTTTCTCTCTCTCTCTCTCTTTCTCTTCCTCTATACGTTTATCTTCTTTCATCTTCTATTCAGCGACATACTTTCTTCTTTCTTTTTTTCTTTCTTTCTTATTAAATTAAAACCAATCTCGCGGTCAATCGTTGAAAATTTTTACAATCGGCTCGAGCCGATATTGCAAAAATCGTTCCACATTCATCGTGTATGCCTCGCGATCGGTGACACACTTCTTTCGAAAACGAGATCTCGTTGCCCGACGAGCCGAGTTTACCGCTTTTCATCGTCAAGGGACATCTCGTCTCGCTCTGAATTTCGTGACGGTCCAGTTCCCCGGAAACAGACCGACCAACTTCCTCTTTCAGGTCACACGGATTTTTGTTTCACGGCAAGAAAGATAGTAAGAAGTCTGCTTTCGTTTCACTTGAATCTTTAAACAACGACACACCACGTGAATTGAGGAGTTGAGAAAAGAAGAAAATTTGGTCGTGAATGTGATGATGCTTACTTTGGAATGGTTTAAATTAGAATAAGAATTATTCGATTCAATAGTAGTAAATTTTAAATTTCAATAGATATGGTATTGAAAAATGTTGAACAAAAAGATATTTAAATAACCTCTTCAGAAATTGATACATATATGTACGTTTTTCTTAAAATTAAAATTATTTTAATTAAATAATAAAAAGAAAAAAATAAGTTCTATCGAAGAATTCCTCACTACAAAATCTTTTAATAATAAAAACTCGAAACATCGATAACATTTTATTTTACTCAATAATCATTGTTTTGAAATGTTACGTTTGATGTCTTATGGCATCCCTAAAGAGGTTAACCGTTCACAAATACGTTAAAAAACACACGATTCATTGATCGAAATATTTGTTTATAAGGAACGATGATCGGGCAACGAGACTTCGATTCACTTTACGAAACATATTTTTACTTTTAAGAATACCACAATGAAAGAGTTAATTATTTAAAGAAAAAAAAAAGAAACGAAATTCACATCTAATCGCACATAAAGATAAACTTCAGAAATACGCTAACAAGTTCTATGTAATGCCTAGAACATAATCGCCACCTGTGCGCACGAAACGATGCGCACAACGCGCACTCTGTTTTCCTTCCCCTCACTGCGTTTTTCTCTCCTTCTCGACTCACGTTTTCCTCTCCTTCTCGACTCACGTTTTCATGAAAATAGAAAAATAAAGGAGCGTGCTCATGGACGAGGGCAATTACGACGAGACTGCCACATGTCGCTGACGAAACGTGTCTTTCGAACGTATCAATCGTAAAATTAACCGTTTCTCTTGTTGATATATGACTTTTTACCCACTACTTTTTTTTTTATCCTTTCGTCACAATATCTCGCCTTTCAACGTACACACACGGTTGACATATACGCACAGGCACACATATTCTCTACTATATTCTTAATCACTTAATCACCACTCGTCACTATTAATTGCGGATGCGTATAATAAATGCCCAGTGGTTGTTCGATGAGGATCATATTTATTTACCAGCACGAGGATTGAACTCTTGAACTCTGAGAGAATAAGCTGTCGATCGACTCTATCGGAGAATCCGCTCGATTTGACGTGGAAATCCGAGGAATTTATGAGAAAAATATTCGATTCTTTCTGTCTATGAGAAAAGTATTTTTTCTTTCCTTTTTTTCGATCACCGTTGAAGAATTTCTCTCTCTCTCTCTCTCTCTCTGTCTCTTTCTCTTCGGTGTATTTTTTTGCACAATTTTTCTTCTCCTTCTTTTCTAGCTTCTTACGCCGTAGAATTCACACCGTAGATTCTATCAACGGGATAATCGTCGAGCAGAGATTAAATATTTATAAATTAGAGGAACACGCGTCGATGCGGCAGCTCTCTGTCCTTCGAGGAAAAGGTTGTAAGTAGAAAACGACGAGGCGATAGAAAACTATCAGGCAGGCTCGAACAGCTTTTCGGAATTAGTTTTTTTTTTTTTTAGAGTTTAGTTTGAAGAAGCGTCTCCTGGATTGAGTTATTTTTTGTTTTTTTCTTTTTTTCTTTTTTTCAGGACTGCGACTATATATATATATATACTCATCTCCTTTGTTTCTCCTCCTATCTTTTTTTTTTTTCCGTTTTCTTCTTTTCTTTTCAACGCAAACTCGATGCGCGATTATCCCACGTTATCGCCACGCATGCACGCGTGTATAAATAATAACGTGGATCCCACGGGAGAAGGGGGGAGAGTTCGACGAGTTTGAAATCGGGACGAGACGAATAATACACGGTATATACGAATTACAGCATGACTCGACCAACGGGAAGGCACTTGGGCAAATTACGTGCCGAGTTGGCCGTCGTATCTAGCACGCAGGGCACACACCATCTTCGGTATCCTCGATTTTTCTCTGTCTATTTCGCGCCACTACTAAAGACAGATCGTTTAAAAGTTACTTCTTTTTTTTTTTTTTTTTTTTTTTTCTTTTCCCCCTTTATTACGAGAAAACTTTAACTTTCTTCCCTCTCTACTGCTTAATCCTATGATATGTTCGCATTCGTTATGTATATATATAAGATTATTATTACGTAAATTAACACGCATTAATTTCTCCTATCGATCATTCATTCACTAATCTCACTTTCGTTTCTTCACGTTTTCTCCGTTTAGATCTCATTCGCGCGTCTCTCGTTTGCACAACTTTCGTTTATCGCTATACACATGCGCACATGCAGACACTCGTCTAGGATATTAGACTCTCTCTCTCCTTAACAAGATACATAATTAAATGTATATATATATATATATATATACATGTACATATACATATATTTATATATATATATATATGCTCGCCGTTTTGCGACGCGCCAATGATAAAACATAAATACACGCTTCTTAGGGCACCTTTGGTATTAAGCTTGATGTATTCGTCTTCGTCTCTTTTGTATCTCTATATTATGCAATTTCGTCTACGAGCCTCCGCGCTTGTCTTCGCATTTTTTTTTTCTTTTCTCTTCTTTTCCTTTTCTTTCATTCGAATCCACGTGGATCGAGAGAGGTGCACGCGAGTTTACGTGCCTTAGAGGCAACGCCTTCGTCGAATTGTCCCGGAATTAAATGGGCGCCAGTTCGAGTACATAATCGGTGATTACGAAATGTGAAAAATGACAAATGCATCGTGAATGTTGTATCCATTAGTCATAGAGTCATTTTTTTTTTCTTCTAGCGTTTCGTAGAGAGATCGTAATTTCGATATTTTTAAGATCGATTTTAAGATCTGTTAACCGGGGAGGGCAGAGTTGGAATCATTCGGTTTCTAGAAATTTGTATAATTATGAAATATATAATTCGGTTTATACTTTCAAAGTGTTTATACTTTCAAATGCGAATCGGCTTACTTTTTCTTTTTCTTTTTTTTTTTCTTTTTTTCATTTTTATTCTTCTCATATCACTTTGCTTCGACTCCATGCCTCACGATTATTATTATTATTATTATTATTATTATTAATATTATTTTTCTCTTCAACTATTTATTTATGCTTTATATCGACGTAATTACTTACACACCACTTATGCATTCGTCTCCTTCGCATTTTGGATGTTTCTTTTTTTCTTTTCTCTCTCTCTCTCTCTTTCTCCAAAGTTTCTCTTTCGCACGAATACGTAACGTGGTCCTCCAGTTTACAAATTGAAAACGAAATCTTATTTACCTCTATTTCGACACATTGTTTCTATTTCAATAGAATCAATAACATCTATCACAAGTATGGACGAATATCGTAAGTCAAAGAGTTAAAACAATACTTATTCGTTTCCCCTATACAATTAAACATTCATCATTCCTTCTATCTTAAGCTTAAGCCACTTTTCACTTTCATTATCCTCTTAAAAAACTAAAATATATATTCTTTCTCTATACTTTCCTTCGCTTCCTTATCACTTATCACCTCTCGTCCAAAACACCATAAAATAGAAATTCATCTGCTCAACCAGTTCGACGAGCTCGAAAAATCGAAGTAGCTTCGCGGTTTTATTATTTAGTTCGTTCGTTCGTTCGTTTTTTTTTTTCCCCCCTAACAAACAGCCCGGTTAACAGATTAAAAAAGGACCATATTTTTTCTTTTTTACCCAACGACGACTCTTCTGTCTTTTCGGGAGATCATCGTCGCACGTGTGTCGACCCCCGAAAATATTCTCAATACCCTTTTTTCCTCCTCTCGAAAACAGCGCGGGGCTCGATTTTCCTAAAAGAATCTTCCGCGACTTGCGGTCTCTGTGTGTTCCTCCGTGTACGTGTGAACAAGTATTACGTTATATGCGTGCGCGTGTGACTTCTTCAACAGTGCCGTCTCCTCCTGCTTTTATATTTCTCTTCCCTCTGTATGTATGTATGTATGTATGCATATATGTATGTATGTGTACGTGTGTTATATACACTATCGACCAAAAGTTTTGAAAAGTTGATGTTATAGATAAGTTATAAATTAGATATCTCAAAATTTTCTATTATTTCTCAACTTTAAAGGATTTTCCGCACTGGGAATAATTTTTTTCTTTCTTTTTTTTTTTTTTTTTTTCAAATTCTCGAATTCTATGTATATATACATTATATCGATCGAAAAGTTTGGAAATTGATGTTATAGATAAATTAAAGTTATTTTAAATTTTCTATTGTTTTTTTTTTTTAACTTCAAAGAATTTTGAAAGCACCGTAATAATTTTCGCTTTCTCTTTTTTTTCAAGTTCTTTTCGAATTGGGAACGTAATTGGTGTTTCTCTACTTTTGGACGCTGGTGTAGTACGAAAGAAAATGATGTCACTGGTGTCGAAATCGCGGCGTGCAATATCGCCTCCGCGTGAAAATCGCGCCGAGGTGTCGCGACGAGTTCACAATCGACACGTGTGTATATCTGTGTGTGTGTATGTATGTGTCTGTGTAATCCTTTCCTTCATGTATTCTCCTCTTCTTTCTCATCTTTCTTTCTCCTTTCTTCATTTTTTTTTCTTTTTGTTTTCGTTTTTTCTTTTTTTTACGTTTTTTTTCTTTTTTTTTTTCTTTTTTTTTCGTGTCTCTCGCTTCGTCGTCGTCGTTGATCGCAATCAAGACTCGGTGGAAAATAAATAGACAAGATAGTACACGGCTAATCGAAATAGATCGATAAGTTAAGTCGTTAAAAAATATATATACCTAGGAATATCATATATACGCGATTATTTTTGGGCCCCCCGCGAGTCGCGAATCTAAAACGCCGTTGCTCCGCGCGATTTTATAAGAATTCTTCTTTTTTTTTTTTCCTTTTTTTTTATATTTTTTTTCTATTTTCATATATTTTTTTCCTATTCCCTCTTCTCGATTAAAACTCCTCCCTACATTGTGGTGCTGCTTTCGCGAGACAAGGCTGAACAACCATACACACTTCGACTTGTCCCGTTTCTCGAAATTTTCCTGATCTATCACATCCTTATTTTCTTCCTGTGTATCTGTCTCTCTGTCTCTCTCTCTCTCTCTCTCTCTCTCTCTCTCTCTCTCTCTTTCTCGCATACGTGAAATGCTTTAGTTTCTCTTCGTTTTTTTTTTCCTTACGTGCTTTCTTTCCTTTTCCCCTTCTTCGTGATCCCACCCCCGATCGCTCGAATCGTTTCAAATTTCCCGCGGTTACTTGCCGCGCCGCCATCTTGGATCCTCGATTCCTTCGCAGAAGCGTGGATTTCTCGAGCGTGGACTCGAGAATCGAATTTTTCTCGCTCTGGAAACACGGATGCGCTCCACGCCGATCTTCAATTTATCCACACTTTCTTTCTTTCTTTCTTTTTTTTCTTTCTTTCTTTCTTTCTTTCTTTCTTTTATAGATCGCGAAAACAATCGGGTTCCAACATCCGTCCTCGTATTGCCGATTTCCGGGGTGTGAGCACGCACGGTCGTTCCCTCGTTCCCTCGTTCTTACATGCCGTTGATGTCGATCTTAAGGTTGCCCGTTTTCTTCTCTCTTTGATCCCTGCAATCATCATTGGAATTCGATTAAAATATGTAAAAGTGGAACAAGCGTAAAGGAAGGAAGAAAAGATCAAATTAATAAGGATTACAATTTTTCCCTCCTTGTATATTCCTCCGCGAGGATACATAAAAGTTTCGGTACGTTTCCTCTAATCGATCTTTTTTTTTAAAAAATCGGGGAGTACAATTTTCTTTTTTTTCTTCTCTCGAATCATATCCAACGTACATATATATATATATATATATATAAAATTTAACCCTTAGGATTCCAAAATCTACACGGTGCAAAATCTGGAGCAAGGTCGATATACGAATATAAATTTAATACAATTTATTTATTAAATATTCGAAATTAATTCCTTGCTTTCGGGCCCTAAGGGTTAAAAAGAGAAAGAAAAAGAAACGTTTTCAAATAACGTTCCAACAACGTTCAAGCTGATAGAGTATACAGAAGTAAAAATATCAAGCACGACGAACATAAAGTTCCGCTTAATCCTATCCTTTTAAATCGTTCGTGGAAAGCGAGAAAGAGAGAAAGAGAGAGAGAGAGAGAAAGGGAAGAAGAAAAAAAGAAGAAAAATAAAAAAAAAATGGTAGGAGAGGGTGACGAGATCGTAGTCGACGATTTCAAATTTGAAATTGGAACGGATGAACGAAATACGAAATGAGGATTCGCAATCGATCGTTAGACGTTTATCGAATCGAGAGGGTCGAAAGTAAAAGGGAAAAACTCGAAAACTGTCGAATCGATACACTTTTGTCTCGACATTCCTTTTCTTCCCTTCGTGGATGGATAATGGATATGTGCGAGATGCCTTGGAAACAAAGATCGTGAATTTTCGAAATAAAATGAAAATCTCGTTTGCAATTAAATCGTTGTAATTAAAATTAATCGATGTGAATAAACGAGGGAGGGGTGTTTTTTAAATAACTCGAGCGCTTTTCTTTGTACAAACCTTCAAGATAAAAATTTTGCATCTGTTAATAATATTTAATTATTCTAATTAGTCTAATAATTTAAGAAGAAAAATTAAAAATGTAAGAAAACAAATTTGATAAATAAAATTACTTGATAATATTTATATATTATTAGCGATATTGATCCCGAATTAAAATTAGAAGAAAATTCGATATATCTAAAATTGAAAACCAAATCCAATTCAATTCTTTTGATTAACAGTTTATTTTCGATAGTTTCAATTTCATTTTATCCGGAAATACTTATTTAAACGCAATAATTTTTTTCTTCTTTTAAAAAATTAAAACTAGACTTCCCGATCTTTTTTTCCACCAAGTATGTACAATTTAATTACACGAACGATAATTTCGATATTTTTAAGGATCCCTCAAAACCAAACGCGAATAAATATAACACACCAGGCAAATATACATTAGCATACATGCGAAGAATTTTCGCTGTCTTCCATTTTGTTTGCAAGTCGCAAAAAACAAATAATCTGCAGCGAGAGATATATAAATTTACTTTAAACCAATTCACATGGATAATTCGTTTATATCGATTCAAATAATTCCCTCTATAAAATATCCGTATAAAAAAACTTCTCGCATCGATTTTTGGGGGATCCTTCGCTCCCTTAACCTCCTCGAAGAGAATACACGGTCAACACTTTCTCGACTGGCAATTGGCTGTCTTTCTTCTTATTATTATTACTATTATTATTTAAAAAACATCCCTAGAATTTAAATTTAAAAAAGGACACGTCCCCGAGGAGATTGATCTGAAAATAATCCAAGCAAAACTCGACGGATCGGTCGTTCCGTCCACACCTAACCTAACCTATCCAATTCACTCGTATATACAACGAGCAACAACGACGTACGTAAACGGCAGTACAACACGATTTATAGGGCGGTCGCTATAAAGTTTTCCACGAATCCGTCATTCTCCCGTGGCAACGAAAGCAACAGACAACCTACATTTCGTCCCCCCTTCCCCACTTGGAACCGACGAGGAGCAGAGAAGACGCCTCGCCATTCAGTAATTTACGTACCTCATTAGGCCGTGACTGCGTCCGGAACACTCACTGAAAAGCTCTCTCTTTCTCTCTCTCTCTTTCTACACTTTTTTCTTTTTTCCTTTTTCACATGTTTGGCTTTCGGGGATCCTTAGAATAGCAGGGAGAAGGAATGAAAGGAGGGGGTACAGAACGGTCGTTTGAATTCAAATTCGCGAGATACGGGAGAGAGAGAGAGAGAGAGAGATAGAAATGGAGGGGAGAGAGAAAGAAATAGGTAAGAAGAGCGCGAGGTAAGGCGAGGGCATTTTCCAACGCATCGGATATTCCTTCAGCGGCGTTTCGCGTCCATCTCGGCGGCTTCTCCACTTCGCCCCCGGTTTCAAGCGCGATGAATTAATGACGATGCGTTCAAATGTTAATCACCTCGGCCCCCGAGCGTAATACTATCGATCCCTTCTAATTTCGGGGCGGGGGGAAGGTCGGCCGATCTCTGACCCGCTTCTCTTTCTTTCTTTCTCTTTTTATTTCTCGCAGAGTAAGAGAGAGAGAGAGAGAGAGAGAGAGAGAGAGAGAGAGAGAGAAAGTCTTGCTCGATCGAATCGTATTTTCACGAGAACGATGGATGCGTGTCGCGACCTATATTTTTGAAACGAGTGTGCTGTTCCAGTTCTCGAGCATTACGTTGTTTGGAAGAGAGGCGAGTTTTTCGAGGAAGATGTTTTTGAAAGGGGGTGGACACGAAAGTTTTTTCCTTTCTCTCTATGCGACGTTTGATTTTACCATTGAACGATAAATTTAATAAATTTCAACGCTCGGTCGAAAAAGTAGAGATTGAGAAGAAATTATTATTTTTTTTTTTTTTATGTACTAAAATATCGATATTATAAAAGATAAATATTCGAGAGAAATATTTTTGAAGGAACAAATTTTGTTCTTTCAGAATTTTTGGAAAAATTCGTGCAATTAAAAAATGAAACGAAGAAACGGCGTAGCATTAAAAAGAAAGGGATATTTAATTAATATTTCTATTAATTTCAAGAAATTTCAAGAAATATCAACTCGCGGAAAGGAAAAGAACGTAAGAATCTTTCTGCGATGAATTTCGTTGTAAATTGGGATCGCAGAGAAACAGAGAGAGAGAGAGAGAGAGAGAGGAAAGGAAAAGGGATGAAGAAAGAGATACGTAACGCCACGAGAACATCATCGTTGTACAAGTCTGTGACGATGCACGCTATCTTTATTTTAGATTTATTGCCAGAATCTTTGCTACCCCCGATTCTTTCTGATCTTTATTTCCGTTTGCAGCTCGATTTTTCCACTTCTATAATCCGATTACACGAGCTCGAGAAATCTGGCTTCACAGTTATAAAACATGGCAGCTTCGATATTCCTCTTACTTGTTTCTTCTTTACTTATTTTAAATAAAAATCCCAAACGTAGTGAAACTTTTCTTTTTTCTTTTTTTCTGATAATTTTTAATTATCGATTACGGAATGAAAGGAGTATCACTCTCCACTCGTTTCGAAATAATATTTTTTTATTCTCTGCAAAGATATTCTTTCTTTCTTCGCTTTCTTTCATTTATTAACAAATTTCTTTTATTCATTCATTCATTATTTATTCATTCTTTCTTTTATTTATTAACAATTTTCTCTCAATCATCATCGTCATCGTCATTGCTGATTTAAAAGTGTTAGAAAAAAAAAAATATTTCTCAAAATTACCACCTCAAAGTTAAAAATTAAAATTTTCGAAAAAGCCTTAAACGCTTTTTAACTAGGATGAAAACTACTTTCATCCTTTATTATCCTGCAATTAATCGATCGTTTTAACGTAGATATCCGACCTTCCCCCTAGGAGAATCTCGCTCCTAGCAACAAGATCTCGAAGCGAAAAGCGCGGCAGGATACGGTGCAAAGGTGTCGCATATCAAAAAAAAATCCAGGAAAAACAAGATACAAGAAAGAAAAAAAGGAGGAGGAAAGAAAAAACAGACAAGGGCGGAGCAAAAACTGTGCACACCAAGCATTGAAAACGCGGTGAAAAAAAGAAGAAGAGGAAGCAAAAATCGAGCAAAATTTGAACGAGAATACAAGGCAATGATGCAAGGAAAATGGCAGCAGGGATGATATTTCTTTTTATACGATTGTATGAAAAATTATTCAATTATGTACAAAACAATGAAATTTTTATACTCGCGAAAGATATAATTTTTTTTTACGAGTAAGTAGAACTTTTTCCTTGAACTCGAACATCTTCAAAAGTTATATCGTTTTCCTTTTTCTCCAAATTTTACCAATGTTATCGATCGATGCATTGCGTACATTTCAATTTTCACAGGGTGTGGCGTGTTCACGTATTCTATGCGAGAGTACTATTGGAGTAGTGAAAAAGTAAAATCCCTTAAAATAAGTAAAATAGTAATAAGTAAAATAAGTAAAATAGTTAAAAATTTCGAATAAAGTTCACTCGAAGGAATTTACTCATCGAAATAACGCGTTGTTAGTGGCCATTAAAATCCATAAATTTTTTACAATTATTCCCAATAATTATTATTCGAGAATTATTAATAATTATTAATTATTACTATTGGAGTAGTGAAAAAGTAAAATTCCTTAAAATAAGTAAAATAGTAATAAATAAAATAAGTAAAATAGTTAAAAATTTCGAATAAAGTTCACTCGAAGGAATTTACTCATCGAAATAACGCGTTGTTAGTGGCCATTAAAATCCATAAATTTTTTACAATTATTCCCAATAATTATTACTCGAGAATTATTAAATTAATTTATCGAAGCGATTTCAAACTCGAATTAAATTTTTCAACCCGTCACCACGATTTTAGAGAAGGAAATAAACGTTGAAAAAGATAGACGTGGAAAAATATTGTTTATTTTATCAAGTTACACAGCAATTGAGCAACTGAAGTTTGCATTAGACGAAACAAAACAGGAATAGAACAGCAATGTAATGTAACCGAGATATGCAGGTCTCGTTCTATTTCTGTCTGTAGATTCATTTTAACCCAAACTTCAATTCACTTAACAAACACCCACCCTGTTCTTTTTTTGTTCCACACCGTTTCCTTTTCTATTTATTTCGATTACTCTAAAATCGAGCCAAATTATTATTATTCTCAAGTAAGACCAATTATCAACGCCATTACGGACAATGAAACACAGATTTTCCTTTGTACCAGCTCGCAACAAACGTATTCACTTCACTTCCAATAAAATTTCATTTCAAAACTTTCCTCGAAACTACTTTTACTACTCGAATCGTGTAAAAAGATCATCCTTCGTCGCTCGAACTCTCAACTCGAGTGAAACGTTAAAAAAAAAGGAAACTTACGAATTCACCATGGAGAAACAACAACCTAATCGCGAAAATGAGAAATGGAAAGTAGAATAATAAAAGAAGAAAGAAAAAGGAGAGGAAGAAACGATAGGGTACACAATTCATCAGGCAGATTAGCAGAAGATAATTGGCGATTACTAGTGGACTCAGCTCGGGGAGAGCCGTCGATCGTGATCGAGGATCGATGGCCTCGTGGATCCAGAAGGGAAAAGTGACGAGATCGAACAGCTTTGTTATCGGCTGCTGAGAGCTTACTTGGCTGAGACCACTGTAATGGTAGAGTAGGGAGCTGTGCTAAAATGCCCCTGAGAGGTACATAAATATATATATTGAAGTGGAGAAATATTTACAAATGTAATTACGTGCTGTTAAATGCCGTTAAATGGTGAAGGATTGATCCTGAAATGATCCTGAATACGTTTTTGAGGGAAAAAAAAGAAATGTCAACAGTCGAAGGGAGAGAGGAAATTTTTGTCTCAGTTGTTTAAAAAAAAAAAATAATAATCGAGCTTTTCTCTGGATTATCTGCTGGATTATCATATCTCTGGATTTCAATTATTACAATTAACAATTTAAGGAGAAGGAGAGAATCGAAGGGAAAAAAGTGTTTTAAAATTTGTGCGAATAAATGGTGGGAAAGAAATGTTATACAATGAATATATCGTTGTACATTGTTCCAATTAAACGTAAGAGATATATAAGAATCTCTGTTAAAATCCATTTTTAAGAGTATCGCTTTATCTCTCTCTCTCTCTCTTCTTTCAGAAGAGCAAAAAATCTGCGAACAGAAAATTTACTCTGTAAAGCGTTGATTCGCTCGAACAAGCATCATCCCCCCTCCGATTTGCAGCATGATCATCAGGGCCACCCAATGACAAGAGAGGAGAATGGGAGGGAAAAAGAAAAAAAGAAAAAGTGACAAAGCCTGTGTTGTCTCAATGGGATATTCTTAAAGGGAGTGGGTGAGCAAAAGTGGCGACGTAAAAAAATCCTCGTTTCCTTCCAGAGGCATATCATCCAACTCCCCACGATATATATACTGCGATGTCCAGCGACGAAAACGCAGATCTGTGCTTCGTGCGAGTCTCGAGTTGGAGTGTTTTTCTTTTTTTTTTCGATGGAAGGGAGAGAAGAAGAAAAAAAGAAAAAAAGAAAGAAAAAACTCGTGCTACGAGGGAATAAGGCGATAAAAAAAAGATTAAAAAAAAAAACAAAGGGATGAGAAATGATCGAGCGATGATCGAATCAACATCCGAGAGGACATCGATGGCCAATAACGCGATCTTTCGATGTTTTCCCGATCGAGAGAGGATCGAGCGAGGATCGAGCGAAGATCGAGCGAGGATCGAGCGAGGATCGAGCGAGGATCGAGCGAGGATCGAGAGAGGATCGAGAGAGGATCGAGAGAGGATCGAGCGAGGATCGAGAGAGGATCGAGCGAGGATCGAGCGAGGATCGAGCGAGGATCGAGAGAGAGTCGAAGAAAGAAAAGAAAAAAAACGAGGAGGAAAAAAGTCGTAGGGAGAAGAAAGAAATAGGTACAGGTATGCATTGTGATCAGGCGAAGGAACGATCGTCGATGATGATACGAGACGAGATATGAGAATCGAGACAAGATTATATATATATATACATATATATATCGGGGGTAAATGTGTCGCACAGGGATGCTGCGTTTTCGTCGGGATTGCGTTTCGTTGACACGGTGTCTTGTATGCGGCTAGCGTAGCATAAAATGAAACCTACTTCGATCCAGAGATTTGTAAAGCCCACCTCGGCCATTTTTGACTTTGCATATTCGATTCGTATTGCTCCCCGGTCGGAGGAGAGGAGAAAGGATCCTTGGAGAGTGGCCATCGCCTGGGCCGCGTAGCGAACGTCTTGATATTCGACAAAGGCCACTGGCGACCCTCCCTTCGTGTGCATACGAAGCCGGGAGAAACCAGGAAAACTGTGCATAAATAAGAGAAGCGTACAATACGTGCTCTAGTTAGTTATGACAGACGGTACTCTGGTCAAAAGAGAAGGGTATCTTTGTGTGTGTGTGTATATATATATATGTACGTGTGTGTATGTATTCGTATGCGTGTGCGTTTGGTATGCGTTTGGTCGTTGGTTGGTTGTGTACTGATGATTGGCGAGAATTCGGTGACGCTGATTGAACAGCGAGACGAGGCATCGTGACATTGTTTCTTAAGGAGCATTTTCTTTTTTTTTTTTTTGTTTATTTTTTTTTTAGAAAGGCGATACTGTTAGGTAGAAAATTTTTGTTGGTCGTTAGAAAGGTGATACTGTTTGTTAGAGATTGTTACACGAGGGTTATACAAGCACGATTAATGAGAATATATACAGGAAAGAGTTGTGCTTACTTTATGATATAGCCAGTGTTGCGCTCAATTAATTTACTGTTTTGCTTTTTGGTGTGTGCATAACAAGGTGTACATAAAATATGGAGGAAACTAAAATATGCCACTTTTTCACGATAAAAGAAACTAATAAATTTCCTTACCATTTTACGATCTATCGTTCAATTGGATAGATATACAAATACCGCTTCCCTTAAGTTAAAAATATCTAACATTTTTTTAACAAAATAATGAAAAATATCAAAGTCTGATTTCCAATAAATCAAATTATAATAATAAATTTAATTTCGCGTATTAAATTTTATTCTAAACGTGTGATTTTATATTTGCTCTTATTTCGCGCAATAAAAAAGAATAAAAATTTATCGAACATTTTGTTAAAGAACAGTAAAGATAAAATGAAAAAAAACTTTCTTTCGATGATTTATAAATTCAACTTGAACATTACCGGAACGAGCGTATTGATTCGTCATATTGCATCGTTCTCAGCAGGATTTAAATTCGTTTGGCGTGTACGAAGACCGATTATCGAGAAATTTATATCCCGGTCGATCGATAGTTACGACGCCATTAGAGGAAGTATCGATATCGATTACGCTTGATTTACCGCGTCTCTGCCAGGTACCGCGTAACCACTGCGAATTTCGTTTTTTCCAATTATAGTATAGTTTTTATTGTAATTAATAAATACTTTCACTGCTTTCTTTTTTTTTTCATCTTTAATCGAAAGAAATTTATCACAAATTATCTTGTGATTTACGACTATTTCCGACTTTGATTTCACATATACGATACTTCTATTAACGATATTCGCGATGGACACGCCATCTGCTTAGTTTATGGTGATTCCTATTTGCGTAGAAATATTTATCTATATACGTATATTTTGAATCGTGTGAAAATAGATAATAATTTAAAGATAAATTTTGATTAAAATATCAAAATTTTCGTGTAAATAGCAATATTCGTTTTAAAATATTTATATTTATATTGAACATTATTTTTACGCGAAACAGTAAACTAGTGCATGTAAATGTTAGAGGTTATGGTATCAATCCTTGATGACGCAGTAAAATAACAAAAAGTTCAAAGTAAGTAACGTAGAAAATAATTATATATTTATATAAATAATTATACTTTATATATATATTTTAAATATAAAATGATTTCGTTTCAATCTCTTGATTTCTTGTTAAATTTAATAGAATAGAAATCCGTTTATCACGTAGATCGTATTCAAACTTGTATATGGAATAAATAAATATTTAAATATTCATAAACATATATGTGAAACTGTTTAAAAGTTTAATCTTTTATAACAGTTATATGTTTTCATTGATGCTCGTTCGCTGTTCTCGCGATGCATTTACTGTGTTTTATGCGTGTATATCAGAGTGTTAGTCAATGCCACTAAATATTTCAATACTGATAATTACAGGTACTAGCACAGGTGCGTCTTACGACTACGAGCTACAACTGGTGGCAAAAAATGAATCAGCGGATGTCAGTGATATACATTTCTTGAAGGCAGTGCTGTTATTCGATTTCAAAAGAAGCACTTGGTAAATCCAATATTTTGTAATACGTGATAAGCTCTTTTGATTGTTTCTTCGATATAAAAGGTGTCTCAAAACATGTGGGAACAAATTAAAAAGCGTATCATTTCACGAATTTTCGTAAACGATTTCCTCCTAGAAAAGGAAACCTTACTTACATCGAACGTGTCAATTTATAACACTTATATTGAGACACCTTGTATTTAGAGAATTTTAACCGAATATTAACCCTCTATAATATCGTACATTTAAATGATACGTATTTACATACTTAGTTTTTTTTTTCGTTGAGTTTTGTTTTATTTTATTATATCATAACATATTATATTTTATTAATACGAAATTGTCATTTCAACGTGAAATAACATTTATCCATTATAATTGGATCCATAGATTTTGTAATTAAAGTTGAAAAATTGTGAACAAATTACATTTTCCTCTTGGTAAACGAGCCAAAATCTGGTTATAGAGGGTTAAGGACGCGTTAGAGCGTGTGCACCGTATAGAGAGAGAGGAAATGCGGTTGATTCGGCGGTGACCTATATCGTTCTCTTAAATTCGTAGCCGCGTAATTGTTTCCAGACCGGGTATGCTAGATTTGTCATTTCCAGTTCATTGCACTATGGTCCGAATATACATGTAAAAATTTAATTTCGACCCGGTTAACCGTAATATTTTCTATTCATTTTATTCGTCCTTTAATTCCGCATGGATATACGTTGATATATACGTTTTAATTTATATTTTCTACCAGAGACGGATAATCGAGTGGTATTTCTGATAAAATAATTATGTAAATTTTGTATGTCTCTTTGTGTGGAAATGCTCGAAATGAGCTTAATTTACATTTTGTCCACAACAATATAGTTGAATTACGGAACGAATAAATGTCAAACACAAATTGTATGGGCCAAGATAGAAATATTTGAAATCATTCGCGCGAATATTCAAATGAAAAGATGTATCAAATATTTTTTTCTGGAAATTTACTTTGAATATACTATATATATATATACATAGAATCACAATTTCTTTCAATGTCACAACATCTGAAACTTAATTTGTTAAAATTATTCGAACTTGAGAGAGAAAAAACTTTATACATCTTATTCTTGTCTTTCAAATTTTGAAATTTTCCAATTTTTTGCAAACACACTACTAAAAATAAAACACGATAAAAAATATAATACACTGCTCTCTAATATCTAAAACGAAAAATATTCAATTGAATTCGTACAGCGTTTAAAAATAACTATGCCTTCTATTCACCGCTGTTTGGCGAAATGGCGAATATCTCTAAGAATCAAACGAGAATCGAGCATATCTTAAAAATAGCGTGGAAGTAAACGGGAGGGGGGGAAAGGCTTGGGAATAAAAGGCGATTGACGTGCGAGATATCGACGTTCGTTTGAAATAAGAATTGCAAAGGGTAAACGGGGTCGAGCCACCCCGGCTGTACCAGAAATGAACTCGCCATTCACCGTGCAAGCGAAGCTGCGGGCCAACGCTTCTTCTCTCTATCTCGCGATGAATGAACTGGATATGACGTCAGTCGTCTGACGCAACGTGTCCGCTATCGATTTCCCCTTTTGCATCGGCGCCGAAATAACCTGCGAGCCAATAGAAGCCGTTGTGAGAACGGTCTCGACCGTCCATTTTTCTTTCCTCTTCCTCGATCGATCCTCGTCTTCGATTCTCATTATTCGATTTTCATTCTCACAATTTTCTTTTTTCTTTTTTTTCTTCTCCCAATCGAAAAATCTTCGAAAAATGATTTTCACTGATTTTATTGTATCCACAGCTTTATATTTTATAAAACGAGATAAATTGGCGAATAATCTACTCGAGAGAGTGATTTTTTCATCGAGAGTGAAAGTCATTGTAACAAACCTTTTGCTTTGCTCCAGGCCTGTTTCGCTCGAACCAGCAACTCCAGACTCGGACCCGCGCGTTTAAAATTTCTTCTACAGTTAATTTATAATGGTTTCAACACACAAAATTGACGCACAAAACTTTTATATTTCAATATTTTATGTATCTATTGCCACGACCCAGTCAAACTCAGACTAACACCGAAGATGTCGACTCACGATCACGGTCTAATTTAACCCTTTGCTCTCCAATGGACTCTCAGAGGATTGTTACGGCAACTTGAACGGCGACAATATTTATTTATGTTCGATTTTTTAAAATATCGCTTCGTAAATAGGTTCCTAAGCTCTTTACGTGTAATCTTACGAGGTGTAATCTTATCTTGTGGGTAATTATCTTATGGTAATCTTATGAGGCCATCGAATGATCTGGAGTTGCTGGTTCAACCAAACAAACAGGCCTGGAATGCAAAGGGTTAATATTAAGTATTATATAAATTATAATACTGCATCAAAGGGAGGAAGAAAACAACAAGTTTAAGTTCTTCGAAGGTATTTTTGAATGTTTGAATATTCGATCAACGAGAGTACTCGATTGTTTCGGCAAGAATTTTAATTATTAATATTTTAATTATTATATTTTAATAATATTTTAATTATTAACCCTTTGCTCTCCAACGGTGACCCTCCGCCATTACTGAGATTTTTGCAACTTGAACAATATTTATTTATGTTTGATTCTTTTTGAATATCGCTTCGTAAGTAGATTCCTAAGCTCTTTACGTATAATCTTACGAGATATAATTTTATCTTATTAAGTAATTATCTTATGGTAATCTTATGAGGCCACCAAACGCACCGAATGCACCAAAGTCTGAGTCTGGAGTTGCTGGTTCGAAACAGGCCTGGAGTGCAAAGGGTTAAAATAAATAAATAATAAATCTACCCATTTAACAATATATTATTCTACAGCTCATAAGATTATACGTAAAGAGCTTAGGAACCTATTTTTATAAAGCGATATTGTAAAAAAATCAATATAAATAAATATTGTCGTTCAAGTTGCCAGATTAATCCCAGTGGTGCCGCTGGAGTTACGGCATTAACTCGAGTGATGACTAAGAATCACCGTTGGAGCGCAAAGGGTTAATGTATTAT